ATGCCACAGGGGGCCCTGCGAAGTTAAGTTGCTCAGGCTTCGGCTTCAGCCCCAGGCGGCGGGGGGCTCGGGCTTCCTGCCCTGGGCCCCAGTGAGTCTAACACCGGCCCTGCTCTCTGGTTTATTTTGGCGGTTCCCCTGAAACCTGCTCGCAGCCCCCCCAGGGGGCCCCAGATCCCTGGTTGAGAATCGCTGCTTTTGGGTGTTTACTGGAACCTAATCTGATGATTTATCCATCTCAAATCCTATTCTATTTTTACCTAGAACCTTGCTTTTCTGCCCTCCACTTCCCTCTTCATACATGTTTTTAAGCTATCACCTCTCATTTTTGTTCATCCTGCCATTGCACTTTTAGCTATACCACCAATTTCACACTTCCTGTACCAGGTACAATCTCAAACATTTCCCTTTTGTGACTCCAAACAGAATCCACAGCAATTACACTTATGCAGCAGGTTGCATGATTGGCCCCTAACTATATACATTTCCTTAATTGGTTGGGTTATATAACCAGTTCTCAGCAACAGAAGTTTTTCATTCTTTGAATAAGGTGACTTCTAGGAGGACGTGCAGTGTTTCTTTAGAACAGAAACAGGAAGCCAGACAGGGACAGGTCTTGGAGAAGGTTCTCAGCAAAAGCAGAGGAAGAAAGAAACAGCTTTCAGAATAAAACAGCTTTCCTGATTTCTAATAAAGTTCCATATTCAGTGTTAGAAGAAAGTGACTCTCTGCCCTCGCCAGGTATCATCTATTGTCCCCATCACTCCTCGCTTGGCTCTTCAGCACGTGTCTGATCAATTTGCCATTTCCTTTTTTAATGTCAGCAACATATAGGTGGTCTTGGAAAGATTATATTTTTATTGGTAAATGTTGATTTCACCATACAAACACAAATACCAATGAAAAATATTTCCATTGTTAATAAATTTAAAAATAAACTAAAAAAAATTTTTAAAAATAAAAATCTATAATATCTGTTGATTAAAAAAAAATCTCACATCTCTGACAAACCTAGCCACTGGATATTCTTTCTTCCAAAAAGTAGCACTATTTCATGTTTAGGCTTGTGTTCATTCAATAACTACCTTATTAGAGGTCTATAATGATCTTGAATGTAAATGGTTCTATACATTGAGTAAAATGTCATATCTTGATCTTGCTGTATTTGTCTGTGGCATCTAACATGTTCATTTATAAGATGAATGCCTGGGCCCCGATCTCATGGCTGAAGTCCTATCTCACTGATCATTCTTGTCACTGGGTTTGTGGTTGGAAGAAGGGAAAAAATATCTTTGTTCTCCTGACTTACCATGACACAGGATTCTGTTTGGACCCATTGCTTTTATTCACACTTTATAACCACCTAGCAATCAACATCTATGGTATTTAATCCATCTTTATCTAGATCTGGTCCTTCTTTCCTTTTCTCCAAGTGGCTTTGCCTTCATTTACCATGTTGCGTAAGTGATACTTTTAAGCGGATAAGTGAGAACCTCCTGCTATTAAATATAGATAAGAGAAATGCTGTTTTGTGGCCCTATTTCATGGAGTCCTGTATTTTAAGGTTAATTCTCCCCGTATTATTCCTTCCCCCACAGCCCGATGCATGCAAGTGTTTGATCATTACCTGCTGTTTCAACTCACATCAAATCAGTTAATACAAATCCATTTGCTAAACAACCTTTCAGAAATGCATGGATTAACTGAATAGAAGACCGCAGCCCTGGAGCGCACACTGGTTCTCTCCAAGTTAAATTATTCCAACCATCTTCCAAACAGCTTGTTTTTTTTCTGGTGCCTCAATATTACCTCCTTTTTCAGACGTCTCCATTGTTTACCACTGATCTTGTTTCAGATTCTCCGATATTCATTGCCCTAAATACTTCATACTGATGCGCGGCTTCTTTTCACAAACTCACACCCACGTCCGTCCTTGCTACACATATTTTGGGGTCACCCTCTAAATATCAAGTCTTCATCCAAGACGCCCATCACATTTGCTGGAACTCTCCCACCTGGTATTCACATTGCCTATTCTTTTGCCACATTTAATTGATTCAAGTTCTATTTTTAACACACAAGATCCATGTTTGTATGCACTGTTGGCTGTACCAGCTTTGGGGTATAAACACATTCTGATCAGTGCCTTCGTACATGTGAAGAGTGCAGTAACAAGCTCTTCAATAAGCTGGGTCTAAGACACTGAGTAGTTAACAGCACAAGTTAGGTGAAAAAAGTTGTATTTTTTGTAATGAAAGAATTATGATTTCTGTTAGTGTGTTTCATGCCATACATACTACTTACTAGGCTGCGCTTCATTGTTAGCAAATATTATTGCTGGAATAAGCAGCAGTATTTTCCTAATTGCTATTACAAAGACTGAATTTTTGTTTTGCTTTGAGTGTTATTCGCGCATTACACTTGAAAATGTGATCTCTACATGATGCATTTTTGCTTTTACACAGGTAACAGCACTTCCTCAAACTAAAGAATTTAATTTTGGCTGTTCGGCTCTGTTCATATTGTTCCATCATCACAGATTATAATTCTGAGTGCAAGCATGAACTGCAAAGGAGGATTTTTAAATGTGGGAGAAATTGTTTTTGTTTAAAAAAAAAAAAAGCAGTACACAACTTGTGGCCCAATAGGAAATAAGGTCAGCCAGCGAAATATGTCTTATTCAGAGGAAGATTACAGAGTAGCCTTATGCTTCTAATAAAATAAACTCACTAGATTCAACTTACACAGCCAAAAAAAGCAACAGAACACCTTTGAGAGCTGAGCTGCTTCAAAGCCTTTGAAATCCAGAGACCTTCATTTGTTTTTCCAGCATAAGCAATATGCAACCACTTAATACTTTTTAGCCACCGTACAGTCATCTGCAAAGTTGCTGGAGAAGATTTGTAACAGATGCTTCTTATCTACTTCATTTTCTAAGCTCTAATATGTCGACAAGGAAACCAATCAGACAACTCAATAGAAATCAAAATTTCTATCTTCTAGGTCAGGTTATTTGGAAATTTCAGGGAGCCAAACTGACTGCTACCGTATTGGTAAGACTGGTTATGCCTTCCAGACATGAAATTTGTAAATAAGACACCATGATTGTCAGAGTTAAGACTTTATGAATTTCATAGAACTGAGGAGAATGGCAATAAGATTTTTGTAATTTTTTTTTAAATAAAGAGGAAAAGTCTTGGTGGAAAAAAAATCCATCCAAATTTTATTCACCAGAACCTGCAGGTCAATCCAAGGTTAGGCAAAGTACTTGTGTTCCACTCCATAAAACCAGACGAAGGTTCTCTGAACTTGCAAATAAGTTGGAGTTCGCTGATCATGTAAAATACATTATATCTACTGATGATGGTCCTCCAGGTACCTGAAAAAAGTCCACTGTAAGCAAAGCTACAGGTCTGATATAATATTTTAGTAGAATTCTTATGGTTATTTTAATGTTGGAAAACCTCAATGTAGCAATTATGAAACCTACTGGTTAGAAACCACCAGATGTGGGTTACTTTTTAATACTCAGGCTCTTCCTATTCCAAATATTTCCCATTACACAAAATCCATTTTAATACTAGAACAGCAGCATAGAAGGAAATCCTCCCCTTTCAACCTGATATTTGAATTACTTAGTTTTAAGTACTATTAGTGTTATGTGATTAGCATCAATTTTGACAGGGGAAAACAATTCCTCTTTTTGTCAAGAACTGAGACACATCTAACATAGCAATATTGCTATTACTGGGTGTCAAAGTGTTTAAATTCATAGGGTTCCAGGCATATTAAACATCCTTCCAAATTTTCTCGTCTGTAAACCCGTGGAAATTCAGTCCCTCCATTCTGCCTCCAAATGACACCCACGTCTAACTTTTCAGCTGTTACAGATCTTTTCGCATGCACAGATATGCTAAAAGCTACCAGAATCCATACTATCCAGCAGCATGTACTGACGGACACAACACAATTAAGTTATCTATTTAGAAAATGAATATGAAAGAACGAGCGCTCACACCTATCTAAAGGTCAGAATAGCCTTTTTAAAAGAAAATGGCAATCCCCAATATTTAGCTTTGCCATTAACATTATGGTAGCGCCCCCAAAATGCTGTGTTTGTCACACAGGTCACAAAGCAATGTTTGTTTTCTCATCAGAAAACTTGTGGTCAAACTTACCATATTCATCCTAGAAACTACCAGTGACAGAGCAGTTAAGTTGCTTGCCCAAAGGCAAATGGCAGTCACATGAGGAAGACACAGGTTCTCTAACTACTAGATAACAGTGCCTCAGCGTAATCTTTGACTCGTCCCTAAATTACTGCACTGCTCCTTCCTTCGTAAGGACAGCTAGCTTTAAAAATAATGGAAGCACATGCCAGCACCCAAACTTAAACACAGTCACTCTCTCCTTCAGCTTCATTCATTAAGTCACCTTCCTACAGTAGCACCACCTCTCCCATTTAGAGAGAGTAAATTCTCACAATAAACCAATGATTCTTTGCCAGAGCAGTTTAGCAGGCCTGTTAGCTTATTGTCATTAGGTTTATAGCTATGAAGAAGAGCAGTAATATATAGAGCAGTAATATATATTAAACATGTAAATTAAAAAAAGATGTGGGAAAGGAAGCCTCAAAATTAGATGCAAAAATAAAAGCTACTAAAATAAACAGGTTAAGATGGGCAAAATAGAGTCATATTGTCATTTGCTGGGAAGAAAAATCCAAATGAATAAAAAAAATAAACTGTTTATACCACATGTCCTTCAGCAAACAGAGCCTGGAGTAAACCCTTCTGGGCTAGCTGACTTTTCAGCAAAGCCAGGGGAAAACTAAGATAAAGAGCGAATTTCCCCTGTTACTGGCATAGGGAAAAATATCAAAGGGTGAAAGCAGAACACCCAAACATGCGCACTGTACATGTGTGTCAGAGCCATTTACTTACATGTAACTCCGTACGGCATACACTGTGTACAAGCTTAAGGAATCTCAGCCCACCTACCGTCCTCCTTGTCCAGCACCATCATCTCAGGGATCAAGAGGAGTCCGGGTACAGATGCTCGGTCTCCAGCAGCCTTCACTCAGGGAAGAAGAGAACTAGTCTCTGGGAACACAGATGAGCCACAGCACAGCTGATCGTCCTTTAGCAGCCAGTGAGCTCTAATTACCCAGTTGTCCAGCTTTTAACCTAGATTGCACTCAGTTAGAATTACATTCAGAAATGAAGCACTTTGCAGATACAAAAGCAGTCTCACCTACTTTTGTACCTCAGAATTGCAAGGAACTAAAACTGCAATTTAGAAAAAAAGGGGGGATCAGAGCGGTTTCTTTGGTTCTCACCTTCTAAATGGCTCAATTTGCACAGTATAATCTGTTTTAATGTAATTGCATTTGATAGCTCATAACCCCAGCTGTTGCAACTACACAGCTTTCAACCTCTACAAAGTGTTTTCCCTTGGATTTAAGATGAATCTAAATCTCAAATTATATTCAGAGAGAGGGGAATATATCTAAGCCCGGCTACTGCTGCCTCTGTCTCTCAATTTGTGCGCTTTGCCCACTTGCTCCTGAATAAATGCACGCATTTCCCAGGGACCCCCTCTTATTCTTCTGTCAGGATTTAATGGTGAATTTAAGCCTTTCTAGCTCAGCAGCACCACCTGCAGTACAGTATCTGTAAATTTAGTTTTAATAGCTACTGAGTATCTTTAGTGTTTCAAACATTACTAACTTTGCCTCTTTTTAATGCTGTTCATTATCACAGATCAATTTTCATACACAACATACTCTTTCAATATTTATCTTTATGGACTGCATCTTATACAACTGTGTTTTACTTTCACCTCTCTCTAGATATACATCTGTCTCCAAAGCATTCTCCCCTTCCTTGCTCATTGAAAACTTGAAGTGTCATTTGAAACTGTCCTGTAGCTTCTAATGGGTTAGGGACTCTCCCTTTCCCTACTAAAACTTAAAATTCCCTGCATAGAGTCTAAGACCATAGCCCTGTCACACTGCCTTCTTCCATTATTAACTCTATTTCACAGATGTGTCATGGTTTAGAACTTGATGTAACACTTCTCAAAGCTCATTTTGACCTTGTTTTTCCATGCACACTTAAGAAATTTCTAAAATACACTTTGTGAATTTCAGTACTTCATGCAGCGTTTCAGATAGTACAACAATTTCTACAAATTGAGTGCAATATTAATCCTTGCCCATTTGCTCTACTTGCTCAGAGACATCGTTGTTGCAGTTAATTCTACTAATACTGGAATATAAACCAACACAGTTGGGGGAGGGCAATCTTCCATCTTTCCTCAAATGAGTAGGCCTTACTCTCACAAGTAGCCCATTGTCTTCAATCGTGTCAATCAAGATTACAGGATGAGGTCCTTCAATACGAAGAGCAATCTACAATTTCAGGCGTGGGGTTTTTTTTTTAAATCCCAGAAAACATTTTATTCTCATTTTAATGGTATTTCTCCCTCCCCTTTACAACTGATACAACAGTACTCTTCTAAAGCATGATAGCAGGCTCAAGTTATATATCCTTAATACCTATTTTTAATTAGATTCCTTATCCTCAGCTCAAATGGCTATTTCCTTCCCCCTTCATTTTGAATACTTAATCCTAACAGTCCTTGAACATATTTGATGTTAAATATATCATTTTGCATAGAATCATTTTCATCCAGTACTTAAAACTTCTATTCTTCTCCTTCTAATATAGTTTGCAAGGATTGAAATTGTACTTTAGGGTAAGAGTACAACAGCTAAGTGATCATTTATTTTAGCTACTGTAAATTAAAAAGGAAGGGGACTGCAGGCCAAAGTTGTGGTAACTAATGCCTGCTAGTGTTTGTTCAAAAATGTTTAACTAACAGAAAATTAGGAATTTCTAATCTAGCATAGATAAATACTGTAATATTTCCTCTAATGTATTGCTAACCTTTATTAGAAAACATATTCCAACGTTTTTTGGATCACACCACCTTACTTCTGACACACTTTTTTTCTACCCCACAGCTTCTATTTTGGGGCAATACTTTTTTCATCTTTGTAAAGAGTATATTTAAAGTAGCGACTTTGGTAATTACATGACGTTTAAGCTTCTCGTCTACATTAAATAGCTGCTGTGTATTACTGTTGACCTATTTTTGGTAAATATACCTACAGATTGATTATGTAGCTGTCAAAAATATTATGCATTAACATGTAGAGTGCTGTACCAGTATCCATTTTATTCCTGCATTACTTCTACATACCCAATAACTTGGATTCCCTTTTGCAAACTAATAATTCTTACATTAAACATTCCTTACACACTTGCTCATTTCAGACACCAGTAAAAAAAAAAATTTATATTATATATATCCTGTATCCCTTAAAACACTTTACTAGCAATTAAACAGAATCAGCTACAATTAAACCAATCATTTGAACTGGTCATGATATTTGAGATCTGCTTACTGATGGGTTCTTTTTAGCAGAAGTTCTGCTCTCCACTGTCAAAGCATTAGCAGTAATTATATATTTGAGGAATATCTATAATAATCCTGAGATATGTAATTATCGTATTGGACACTGGGCTGGTTTGTTTGTGCAAGTCAAAACGAAAGAGACCTACAGGGCCAAATTCGGCTGTGGCAAACACACCAGAATTGCATAGGGGCAAGTCTCTACAGATTTTGGCTCAGAAAGATGTTCTTTAACTTCAGCTCTGAAGATTCATTTTGGGAAAACAGTGGCATAAGTTTCCGTTTTAAAATATTTTCTAAAATTACATTGTGTTCTATCTGTCGGGTTATATTGTGTCACTTCAGACATATGAACCGATGGTACCTTACAGACATAACTTGACAGTGCCGCAATACCTCAGGTCAGGAACCTGACAATTTTTTTGTACTCTCCCCCTTTACCCACAATGATATTTGCAGAGCCCTTAGGAATGTAGCATTGTTTTTCTGTTGCCCATATAGACACTAAGAAGTGTTTGCGTCAAGGCAGCTTTCCACTTACTAGGCAGCAAACTGATTATTAGACCCTGTGTGATGGTGACGGTGTCACCCTAAGGCTTGCATACTCCCCTGAAGCCTTCATTGCAACCCGTACCCTGAGGCTGGGAGAGCAATCTCTTCCAAAACAACAATACGGCTGGACAACTAGCTCTCAGGGATGCAAAAGCAAGGAGCACATTACAACTTCTACCTAAGAGGATGTGAGCTCTCTGCAATGCCCCAAGACTGCTGGAGGAATGAGGGACTTAAACAATTCCCGGTTTCCCACATGGATGCATGCAGCATTCATTAAACTATCACAGTGCCTTCTTATGCAGAAGAGCTAGCTTTTTAAGATTAAAAATGACCCTGCAAAAAAAGAAAAAAAGTCAATTGGATATCTGTGATCTGCAACTTTGTTTTTTAACCTTCTAAAAATCCTAAAAACAAAAACAGACCTGTCCCCAGAAGGAGACCTGCTTGCATTAATAGAACAGACCCATTTTCACTAACAAGGTCTTTTAAGACAAGCAATTGGTATAGCTAGTGATAGCCTCCATTTTAGTCCATTTATAACCTGTGCAGATCCAGCATCCTTTTTAACATTCACACCTGATCAGGCAACTGGAGCTCCATCCAAGTCAGGCAGAAAGAGAAAGGAAAGCATAAAATAACCTCCTCATAAAATAGTTTCCTCTCTTAATCTCGCCTTCTGTCCCTAATTCCTCTGACTTTTAACAGGCATAATTTCTCTGCTAGCATAACTACACTATCAACAGTTTTGAAGATTCCCAGACATTACTACAGTTTGTTACTCTGATCTCCACATCAGGGGTTTCTTACTATTCTTCTTTTTAAGTACATCTCATTCTAATTTCCTCCTTACCTTCACCACCATCCCCATTATTTCCTTTTATATCGTCGTTCACGAGAGCTCCTGGAATGAGGGCTATTGAGAACTGTCTGGATAATCAATGGTTCTAGTTTCACTTCCTTCCACCACCATCATTCCAGCCCTGAGCTCCTTATGTTTAACGAGTCCGTCTGCAATACTTGAAAGAACCCAAATACCCCCATTAGCAAACCCTCTTTAGATCTCAGTCTTTCCTCACAGCTCACCTGCTTCCCTTACTTCTGCGGCAGAGGCAGCATCCTGCTGTTAACCCGTCAATCAGATTTAAAGAGATATGGGTTGGCAGGCACCCTTTGGCAAAAAGTTAAGGGAGATTAAGACGTTGCCTAGTTTATTATTAATACTGGAGGACTTTCATGCTGAATGTAAAAAGGCAACCTTTTTCCCCTCTAGTCAAACAAAATTTGCACTGTAACAATTTAAGTTTCAGGGATCGCCCATTGTAGCTTACCCACAAATATGAAATCAGATGGAAATACAAACCCTATCGCACATGAGCACTACCAGAAAAGAATTAACCTTGCTTAACTGTACTGACTTTATTACTTAGCCCCATATATCATGGTGTATGGAGGAATAGATGTGAGAGGTTTATTTTTCTTTTTTCTGAACATTTCATACCTTTTACTTAACATTTAGATCAAGTTCTCTCCCCTTTACTCCCCCCCCCCACACACAGACAGACACTTGACTTTTATACACCCCATTACTAACACTGCATCAGTTTACTTCAGAGGACTCTGACAAACTAGAATACTATAAAGGCCTCTAAGTCCGCAGATGAATTTGGCATTCAGCTCCCTCCCCACACACCCCTCTGAGCCCCAGTGTGCATTTAACCTTCTAGCTGTTAGAGATTCGACCCCCTCCCACACAGGTGGAGCACACAAGCAGGCATATGATTTTTCCTCATTCCCCAAATGATTCCATTAAGGCATGTGTCAAGCAGGCTCTCACCTTGCAGGGGCAGATACTCCAAGATTGAGAGGGAAAGGACACTTCCCGCTGTCTCTTTTATTCTGGTAGTCACCTTTCCAAATTAAATCCCCCATTCACCGGGGAGAGAAGTTTTATGGTAATTTATACAGGCACATAACATATAGCATTCACTGCAACACTACCAATGTGAGGCTTTTCAGTTTGCAATGTAACTGAAACTGGCATGATGGTGACAAGCTAATGCCACCTGACCTCATGGCCAGTGACACAGTTATATGCCCCAAGATGTCATGCAGTTCTGAACTGGCAATAGGACTTTGATCATGATGACCGACAGCATATTCCCTCATCTGTGTCCTCAAAAGACAGTTACCTCTGTAACGCTCCTATTCCTGTACATAATATGACTGGCATAGCTTGGCGGGAGATGAAAGGGTGGGAAAGTGGTATCAGCAGATGAAGGAGATCAATTAAAAATATCAGTGTTGTGTTACCGCAATTTTCCCCAATAAGGACTTGGAGGAAAGGACCATTTTCTGAGCTGCACGGACTTCTTTCCCCAGGCGTTGCCTATGCCAATGAAGAGCGTATGAGATTACCTTTGCCTTGACCCAGTAGCCACCCATGTGCTCATTCCCAAGGCAGAGGCCACTATTTGAAAACACAGTTGTACAGAAAAAGGACAGCAAAA